CAGGAATGGGGAAGAATAGAGGACTCGTTATTTAGAAGCTCACCCACTCAGTATTGTTGCCAGGTTATACCAAAAAGTAACAGGTGATTATGGGTGGCTCCTGAACATACCAGAAGGGTGTATGTAGTCTAGCCCCCAGACCTGCTCTTTAATGCTTGATCTCCCACTACCTCTTTTCTATCCAGTTTGGTGCCTCACAATGTTCACTCTGGAAATTGCAAAGCAGAGGTAGGGAACATACCTCTGACAACTCCTCTGACATTGACTCTTGGTGTTTCTTGTTCTCCCAGGGGAGTGAAGTGCTGCTGCTGTCTCTCTGCCGTACAGTCAATGCCTGTTCCCACTTCTGCAGAGCCTCCTCGAACAGCTCCATCCCTGCCCGATGCAACCAACCAAACAGTGAAACTGAAGAGCTTGTTTAGATGGCAGAGGAACGTAGCGACCAGTAAGGCTCCTTGTTCACTTGGGAGGAGGCTTTCCTCTTCTCAGAATGCTCTCTGAACCCATATGGCAAAAGATACTAACTTAGGTATTTCCATCCTTATGGATATGATATGTTCTTTATTTAGCTTAGGACTAAATAAGACCATTTCAGCAAAGAACATCAACAATGTTACTTCTGAAGCATATTTTCCCAATGAATAGCCTGGAGGGGTGGACCTCGTCATTACACAGGCATTGAGACCAACATCTTCTATCATCAAAGGATAGGAAAAGGGTTTCTCCAAGTTAAGGACAGAGTTTGCCCATAGAATTCCATTGGGGTTCAGCATGGGAAGGGATGGTGTTTTCAGGATAGGGTTGGGAGCCACTGGTGGACCTGGGACAGAGGCAAGGACTGACTGCACACAGAGGCTCCACCCCTGTTCTCCCCACAGTAAGCCCTCCAGGGCAAGGTTAAAAAAACAAAAAAACAAAACACAATTTACCTTGAATATAGAGGCTTTCAGCACTAGAGTCTCCAGCAGCTCCAGGATCCTCCATTGCTCCCGTCTCCCAGAGCCCTGCAGCTGCTGGTGTTGGGCTGGAAGAGTTCACAGCCACTATCTGGCCCATAAGATGAGAAAGAACAACAGATGCTATAAGACTTCCTTGCAGTCTAACAAAAGCAGCAGAGAGATCTGATCTCTGCATTATGGTACCTGCAGATACACCCTCAGCTATTTGCCATTTTGAAATTTGTACTTGTTTTTAGCATTCGCTTGCTTTTCCAAGGTGGGGATACCAGTGCTCCGCATCCAAATGTGTCCTCCCTCTGCAAGTGTTCATACTAGTGGAGGGCAACAATGGGAAGTAGCTACCTTAGAAGGAGCTATAAAGTGCCAAGCTGCTGCAAACCAAGTTCTCCAATGATAAGCAACATCACTCAGAGCACAGAGCATCACATCCTCCCCCTTGCCTCTAGCCAGCAGCAAGCTAACTTCTTTAGACAGAAAGAAAAAAAAGGTTTGCAATCGCCTCTCCCTGGCTGCACCTGTAAAGATATAACAGGCATCACTGAAAAACCCAGGCTTTGTTCATGTTGTGTGCACTTATCTGGGATACTTGGAGTGGGAAGGGGGCAGGTGCATGAGAAAGACACTGCAACACCCATGACAAAGTAGGGGTGGGACAGGAGAAGAGACTGCTGGGAAATAAATGTCAGGCCCTATCCCCATAGGAAGGGGAAGGCAGTGGCTGGGAGGCAAATGCAAACATAAAGAGGGAACAGGTTACTAATGAAAACAAGACAGGGCACTTGTGCCAGAAAAGCAAGTCACTCTTTTCTTCCTAATCAAATGCTCTTGGTGTGGAGCTAGAATAGAAATAAGAGTTTACAAGATCTGTGTCATGGTTCAATCAGAAACCTGGACAAGTGCCATGAGAGCATTTTCTGGTCAAATGCTACAGGCTAGCAGGGCTAGATTCAGATATTTACAGCTGGATAGGAATTGTTCCCAGCTGCAGCAAGTCGCAGAATACTTGACTTCATTTTACTTTCTCAGGCTCAGTTCAGATGTGCTACTAGTTGCTGGTACCATAGCTCATAAACAATTGCTATGACTAATGTGCTGAATCAGCAAAAAGCAGAGATTCCAGGTACCATGAAGCATTTGTGCCAGAAGCAAGTGATGTTGGGGAAATAGTAGTGGTTATAAAGGAGCTTAGTCTGTCTTCAGAGCTCTAAGATCGTGCTCCCAAAACCAAATAGGTTAGAAGTCCAGTCCCTAGTTTAGGGATAAGGTCCCTTTATTCTCTGGGGCAAGAAAACCAAACCAAATGATCAGTATGTCTAGGGGCAGACTACAGCCAGCTACAGATGTAACCCTGACCTTGAACTTCTGTGGAGGCCAAGACGGTGCAAGCCAAACACTCCAGCCAGCTCACCAAATGCTGTCAGGACACAGAAGTCTTCCCTTTGACCTGTTTCAGGAGCTATTTTGGCAAACTCACCAGAATTTAGTAAGCTTTTAGCCGAAAACAGACTTATTTGAGGTGCATCTCTGCAGCTCCAACACGGGTCTCTTTCTAGGTCTAATTCATCCCAGTTATTCAAACCCAACTTCCAGCAAGAACCAAGATATACAGGGCAAGTAGCAGGAAATACTGGAAGGGGTGGGGGGGAAAGGGCAGGAATTCTCCAACTCATCTCTCCCTCCCTAAACCTATACAACGTAGAATGTCCCACTTGTTTGAAGAGCACTGTTTCACAAGAGAAGCACAGAGATTCAAAACTATTTCCACATATACATTTAGTATAGGTATTTTAAAGAAGTCAAATTGCATTTAAATTTATTTTTCTTCCCAGATTAGATCAACTTACCCTTTTTTGCACAATTGGAGGCCCAAAATTATGAGTCAAAGCATACCACCAATTTGCTCTGCAACTTCTCTCCCATGTCCCTGGATGTAGGAAAGGGGGATGATTTGGTCTGTCTCCCTTTTCAACCTACTGTGAACTGCAGAGGAAGGCAGATCTTCTGCAGCTTTGCAGGAACCTATCCCCCAAACAACAATGATTAGATCTCCAGCCTAATTCACTTTAATTTGGGTTCACACCTCATTAAAGGAGACAGTACTTCACCCACCACTCCTCTATAACCCTGCAGCTAAAGTTGTGGCTTCAGTGGTTCAGACTGGCTCTGGCCCACTTGATATGGCTGTGGCTTTCATAGCACACCCAGGTTCTGAAGAATGTCCACTTTCATTTAACAAAAAACAAAAAAAAAGTTTCCAACTCTCATAGATCGAGGAAACCTTTCCAAATGCGAGTAAATGCCTGAACTGCAAGCCTGAACCAATCACTGATTTGATTTGCCTGGGGATTCAGACTTGCATTTCAAGCATTTACTCACAAGCCTGAATCCACCAGCTATGCCAATCAGTGGCTGAGAGGTGTGATCTCTGCCCCACCCTTTCATCTGGACAGGGTATTCATTCTAAAACCTAAATGTGGTTTTGCTCAATGGCACTATCTGTTTTGCCAGTGCTGATCATTTTAACAGAGGCAATGGAAACAAAGGGTCAGGGAAGAAACTATGGAGGGAATGATCAAACAAGATAGAACTGAAAAGAAAGGGCAGAAACAGCAGCTCTCAAGGAGGAAGACTTCTCAACTGAGTAATGCTATAAAAGGAAGCTAAAGTATGAAACCAACAAGATACAATCAAAGTGCACAAGTGCTAGATTCACCCCCTGATCTCTGTGCAGGCCTCCACTTGCATTAGAGGGGAATATCCTGACTCATGGAATGCAAAAAGGAACTGAGCCCTTGCTACAGAGTGCCAATTCTCCTGAGTCTAAAACAAATTAGAGGTTAGAAACCTTAATTTACACCTTACTAGGTGGAGCAGAGAAGAGGACTTTTGCACTAAGAAAAGCCAACATTTGGAATTTTGACCTATTTTTATTGGGGAATGTCAGTGTCAAAACAGTGTCACCTAACCCCAGCTGTTTTTCCTGATTAAGTGCAAGGGGGCTGGACCCTATGATTGTGCAAGGTCCCTTCCAGCCCCTTACAGGTCCCTGCTGAAAAAAAAATAACCCTCCCCAGTCACTCCATCAAATTAGGTAGCTTAATTGGGAAGCAGTGCATTCTAGCAACATGGGGATAGGCTGCTTCTGAGACCATGAATGATCTTTCAGTGGTGGTGAGAGTTTCAAGGCCTGGGAGGCAGAGAAGAGGCTGTGGCCGTATGTCCAGTTCTTGTCCTATGAGTGAAGGGAGAGGCTGAGAGTAGAACTAAAGGAGTCTGTGGATTCAAAAGTTGGGCTTTACAGACCTGCATTGTGTGCTCCAGCTGCACTGGCCCTGGCCTATACTGCAGGTTTCAGGAAACTTCCTACCATCCCCCCTGCTCCACCCACGAGCGTGCTAGTGTAGAGCTGTCCAGCCTACAAGAGCCGGTCTCATAATTATGCTGGCAGAGCCCCCTAGTGGAGATGCAGTGTATACCAACAAGAGTACTCTGTGTGTGTGTGTGTGTATATATATATATATATATATATATAGGCATTGGCTTCCCATACAACAGAAGCTAAACTGACCAAAAAGCTCCTGTGTTACCATAGCTGCAGCTCCACCAGAGGTTTTGTCTGTGGGAGTCCCACCCACCCTGCCCGTGCATGTATCCCCCACATTTGTGCACAACCCCCAGAGCCTACATAGCCATGCTGGCCAAACTGTAGTGTGGACAAACCTTACACTAGTGCTCCCAAGAAAGCAGTTGGGAAATGCAGAGAAGCTTCCTGAGATCTGTCAAAGCAGATGAGGGTGCAGTGTGGGAGTTACTTATGCCTGCTACTAATGCAGCTGGTGTATGGGAAGCCTCAAGCAGCAGGTCGGTAAAAAGCTGAGTGTGCAATCCCTACTGACTCGATCAGTTCTCCTGTCACCCTCTCTCTCCACCCACGGGACTGGTTATATGGCTGAAGATTCTTCCCATTTGTCTAGGCCATGGAAGTACCGACAATATTTACTAGATGCCCTTTTTTCCTTCCTCAGAGACTAGTTGGGTGAAAAGAAACCCCTCCCCATATTGCCAGGATTAACTCTTATCCAGACAATTCAGCTAATTAATTAAAAACCCATCAACACCTGAGGAACACAGACTATTTTTTTTTAATGGCTTAGAGACGGAGCAGACTACCTTCAGGGCTGTTAAGGGGACTAGACCATTTTATCTGAACCAGTCAAGACTACTACCAATTTGTTAAAATTTGACCAGGTCCCAAAACTAAGTCTCACTAATGGGCATAAGATGTTTTAATACTGATTAGAAAGGGGGTTACCCTGCAATTAGCCATAAATGTCTATACTTTTGTGTAAGGCACAATGTTGCAGGTGACAATGTTTATGGTTTGAAACACATATTTGGCTATACAGTGCTCTTGCTCTCTCTCACTCTCTCCTTTCAATAACTGCAAACACCCCAAATCATTGCAATACTATCCCAGTTTGTTTGTGGCTCCAGTCTCCAGACCAGCGGTTCTCAACTTTTTGGACTCAAGGCACCCCTCCATAACTTTTGGAAACTGAGTGGCATCCAACTCTAAAAACAAATATATATATTACAGAGCTCACCTCCTTGCAAAGGGGGTGGAGAATCTGGCATGCATTTATCTACTTAATCACCTCATGCCTCAAGGCACCCTTCAAAGGATCTGGCAGCACCCCAGGGTACCCCTGCACCCTGGTTGAGAATCACTACAAGCAGTAGCCATGAATCTCTTATTGGAATTGAAGCTGTGAAGGGTGATTAACACAACAAAACAGGCCTTTAAAATCACCTTTTAAGTACCAATATCTCATTATCTATCAAAAACTTTGGCATAAAAGTGATGCATGTGGGTGCAGCTCAGTGCTCCGGAAAGCATTAATTCCAGTTGACTAATAATCCTACTAAATGTAGATAAGTAGATGTGACTCCTTCCTCTGTGCTGCTACAGCAATGGTGAAAGATTTCTTACCGAGGCAAGGCTGTGGGAGGAACCAGAGCGTTTGCTGGGCTCAATGGAGGAAATCCCGCTAAGCGTGTCATTGCTCTTGCTGCTTGGACTTTGTACTCTCCTGCTGGAATATCCTGCAATCAGGAGGGTTGCAAAAACAAGCCTTTAGGTCTTCCTGCTCTGTCTACACCATTCGAGGGAAAAAGGAGCCTATGAAATCAGATGTGGTGTTGCTCTTTCCTGCCTGTCCCTTGCTGCACCAGGTTCGCACCACTGGAAGCAAGATCCCCTGCAGGCTGCTGAGAGGGCTGTGCCATCTCCAGAAGAATCAGCTCTCAGTGGGGTGTGAAACGGTAGCAGTCGCAGATAAATCTGGTTCAAAGCAAAATGGTTTCATTGCAGCCTTGGATGGTGAGGGGAACTGTGATTAGCTGGTGACACAGAGCATGGATCTTCTGGGTTAAGGAGTCAGCAGATGGAGGGGGCAGTCTATTTCTAATAACTAGAGCTGGGAGTTAGGGTTCTATTGTCTAACTTGCTGTCGCTTATCCTCCGTACCTCAGTTTCCCCATCTAAGATGAGGATATAAATATTTACTCACCTCTCTAGATGAAAGGAAGCATGCAAGTATTATTGGAGAAACATTAAACATCAGTGCCTCAGACCCCTCATGCTATGCAAAATGCTACAAGTCACTGTCATCAGTGCAGGGACAGTGGTAATTCAGCAGTTTGTTTGATTTCCCCAGAATATTTACACAGCTCCATAACTTCACAACACTGTACACACATTAATTGAGCCTAAAAACTTCCCGCTGGGCAGATGATGTGCTCTATCTTCTTTTTCCCCAATCGGGGAAACCACAAATAATAGGCAAAGTGACTGGTCCAAGGTCACAGAGCGAGTCACTGACAGGGCTGGCTTAACATTCAGACCCTTCTGACTGAATCTAAACTACACCGTCTTCTTTACTGTTTGGTGACTGACAGAACACAGGCCACGGCATGCAGCCAGCTACCCTTATCAAGTGAAAACATTGTACAACGGGCTTGATATTTCCTTTTTTTTTTTTTATTTAAAAGTAATGGCAACTGTGAATCTGGATAGCCACTGTTTGACTGCTTGTGCTGTTAAGGTAGTAATCTTGCACTTTTTAACATCTATTCTGTATTGTTGCCCTTATTAGGACACTGTCTATTTTTGGCTCCCAATCTCATTCTGCTCCTATAAAGTATAAGGAACAACCTTCCAACACAATCTAGCCATCTGCTTGGCATAACCTGGGGTCCTGTCCTCCTGCATGTCTCCTCCTCCCAGATAATAATGCTCCCATAAACATTATCATTTCTCCCCACCATTTTCTCTTGTGATACAAACCTTTTTTCACTGATGGGACTTTTCTGGTTGACAGGACAGGAACAGGGACTCCTCCAGGCTTGAGACCACACTTCTCTGGAGCTATCTGTTTCTTTCGACGTCGACGCCGCTTCAGCTGATGTGCAGCAAGAGCCAAGGCAACTGTTCCAAGAGCTGTGGCAAACAGCACCTTCCGCAGGCCAGGGGAGAGCCGCAGCTGCGAGAAGACAGACTTTAAACACAAAAGATATTAGAAAGCAACAATATTAGCATTGTCTCCACCTCCAGTTTTCATCCAGAACAGCTAGACTCTAAAGATACTGTATAGATGTTGTGCCAGTGAATTGTAGCCAGCAGAGAAGAGCAACTGCTTAATAGCATGCAGCTAAACCGGGTCAGATAAGACAGTAAGGATACTGTTAGAGATGTACGCCGAGGACAGAATGTATCTCTGATATAACCCCATAAAGTCAGTGGGGAAGGGGGGGGTGCGCGCACGTATGCGTGCATGTGCGTGCACACAAGTGTGTGTGTTGTTTCACAGACTTGAAATCACTGTTTGTCGTCTGTGTGTAGAGATTAAAGATCTCAAGGCACTTTTCCGAAGACAAGTTTGCCAGTGTCCAGCCCAATAGTTTCTAATACCCACACTAAAAAAAACAGACATAAAATTCCAGCAAAGATTCCACTGACATCACTGGTGTCTAGATTTCACCCCAGAAGCATATCAGTCCCCTTCATGAGAAGAAACTTATTTTAGGTCCAGACAGAACTGAACAGAGGAGGAGAGAAAGGAGGATAACACACACATCCTACTGGAATCTTTGAAAAAAAGTTACTCTTGTTTTCCAGGAAGAAGAAATGAGAGCTGAGAGGTGTGTCAGGTAGGCCATCTAGAAGGGCCTAGGTAGCTGAAAGATGGGTTAAGAAGGTTTGCAAGAGAATTTAGACTTTAGATCAGGCCTTAAATGTCATAAGACAGGATCTAGCATTACGTAATAGAAAACTGTAGTGTAATTATTAATAAAGCTCCTATTGCTAGTAAGAAGCAAAGGCTCAGAGTTACGTTATTAACCTCAGTTCTGAATATTCTGATTTACAGGTAAGATTCATTTGCCCAAATATTGAAGACTGAAATATTAAGCATGATTTAAGTAAAAAAATGTGTACTTGAGTGCCTCTAAGGATGACCCACAAGTTTTGCTGAGCAGAAAGAGAATGTGGCAAAGACAATGGGGCATGAGCGATTGTAGCATTATAGAAATGTCTGCTCCAACATCATAACTAGCACTTTTTCAGAAGTGTATAAAACCAACTGTTATGGTTTGAACTGTGTTTTTTTCTTTTAATTATTTGGCTTAAAAGAGATTTAAAATAAAAATCTGGTAAAATATTTATCAACTTTTCCAGGTATCATGCTGCAGCTTCCCCCACACATATAGACTCATTGAATTCAGAGTGAATAAACCCAAAAACTTTTCTGTTGAGAATGTAGCAACTTGTTTATTGCTGGATGGCCAGAATGTATCCATGCCTTACTTCCAAGCATCATCTTTCCTCGAACCTCTTCTCCCCAGCCAAGTTTCCCATCAGTGACATGGCCATCTGCAGAGCTCCCCCCTTAGGTATCCTAATCAGTCCCTCTGAACCTTTCCAGACCTCTCTGGGCCTCTCACAAGAAACCTCCATTTCTAACTTTTGCAGCCTCCCAACAAGGGCAACCCCCATAGCAACTGTCACTCCTCTTTCTCAACACCCTCCGAGTCTTCCTTCCCCCCCATTCAATTAGCACTGACTCACCACCTTCACCCCTCCAAATGAACTGGTGCAGGCGGCTCTGCAGAACTACGCATACAACCCAGGACTCTTTTACTTATTTTTATTCTTTTACCTGCCCAAATGTTGTGTAAACGAACACCGGGATCTCTGCCACAGTCATTGCCAAGGCTTGGATGATAGACATTCCCTCGGTTCTTTGAAAGGCCATTTCTGAATGAGGCTGCGAGTATCCGCAGGAGTCAGCGTGTGGGAAGGACACTTAGGGAACCATTCAGAGCTCACAAGGAAATCCAACTTTGTTTCAACATGTGTCTCAGGACTGCAGGGGCAGTCTCCAGCCGGGAATTTTCTTCCTGCACGAAGAAGAAATGAGGTGAAGCAGATAATTAAACAGAAGCAAGGTCTGCACGGTCTGCCCTGACAGCACGACTTTCAAAGCACGTTGCAATCCATGCCAAGCAGCAAGACAGCTAGAACGGACTCAGCCGCGATCTCAAACCTGGCCCTGCAAACAGCGCTATCGCCTGCCTCTCCAATGAAACCAGAAGGATTTTCAGTCCCGTTTTTTTTGTTGTAACCAACCTTTTTCTGTACCAGGACCCATCTGTACACGCCGATGGCCAGTCCCGACCCAGCGCCCCTCGTCCCCGGCGTGTGGGCACAGGGGGCCCAAGCAGCCCCTCGCAGCTGGAGCTCTGCCAGCCCGCAAAGGAAAAGCCACCGTTTCCCAGGTTTTTCCCCGTAAAGCTCGTTTGTGACCCTTTCCTATGGTCTCACGACCGCGGGTTGAGAAGCGCTGCTCCGGGAAGGACTTGGGGGCGTTTCCGAAGCAGCGCGACCGTCTCAGCGTCATTTTGAAGACAACGTTACGGACAGCGGCTAAACCCTGTTGCCGCCCAGTTGACCCCAAACTGTTTGAACTCGGGGGTGAAACTGAGCTGGATTTTTCAAACCCGGCCCCGCAGTGGCACGGCCCGCGGAGCTCGCCCCACCACCGCGCGAGGCGGCAGGGTTTTGGGGGTGACACTTGCTATGGGACAAGACCCCGCATGCAAAGGCTTGCCCCCAAAGTGCTGCACCCCCTACCCCCTGGCACCCACCTCCTGCCCAAGCCCCGTCTGCTCAGGGAAGGCCGCCCCAGCCAGGCCCTCGCTGCAGCATCCCCTCCCCGCGCTGCACAGCCCCGCCAAGGGGACACCATGACGGCCGCCGCCCCTCTCCCGCCGGCGTAAGGCACAGCCCACGCCCCCATCCTGCGTACCG